GATAACAACTATCCTAGTATCATAGACTGACGAAGCTTTCCTTCGTCGATAGCCTGCACCACCACTCTGTCATAGGTCCAGATTCCATGTACACATAGACCTGTTTCTGGACCCTGTACTCTTTTTTATTTGTTTATTTGTCTATCTCTGCAGTGAGTTATCACATGCCCTAAAAGTCCTAGTATCTTGATAGGCAGGTCCCCCCTCCCCCACTGTCTCCTCCTCCGAGGAAGTGTTCCTTATCTTTTACCCTTTGCAATTCTCTGACATTCCCCTTGTAATTAACATGCACCTTGTAGGATATAACTATCCTGTTATTTCTGGACTTTCATCTGGTAGTTGTAGCGCCTGAGTTGCTTGTTAGTCTGATTATGGTGATGGTTGCCTGGGGGTGAGTTTTCTGATTCCATCTTTCCTTTTACAGTGGTCATTTGGCTTTGTACCGTGAGGAAGAGCTTCCTCTTCTTCCTCATTTGTTTATCACTGTGGGCACCCGGGTCCTTATTTTACTCAGTAGGTTCTAATCCTTTATTAAGGCCGTGTTCACTTTCCCCCTCACACTGCCCCAGGTCTCACTAGAGGGCGTTCCCTCACTGTTGCTCCTGTGTCCTTTTACCGTGTCCCCGTCATTCCTTGAGCAGTTCCTTTCTTTCTGGCTCAACTAATGCCCTAGCCTGGCATCGGCCGTTTGTTCCGGGAGGCTAGTTCATTTCGGTGGAGCGTGAGATTTAGAAACTGATGTCAGGGCAGTGGGTGCGCTCGTCGCTGTTGGGCTGTCTTGCTGCGAGGCCCCACAGTGGACAGAGCTGTGAACAGGTGTAGAAGTAGAGGCATTGTGCACAAGCACATCCGTGTCTACCTCTCGCTATCCCTCTGTCCATCTCTCTCTCAAAACCGTGAGTTCTGAGACCTGATGCCTCCACTCAGGCCAGCACCACAGGATTCATTCTCTGTTTCCTCCTTTCTGTGTGCTACTGTCTTCGCCGACAGTAACAAATCTCGCTCCGATTGTCTACAACATATTTATTTATTTGTTCAATCCAGAATTCCTAACTCATGACTCAGCAAAAAAGCCTACCATTTAGAGGTCGGTATTTGTTGAGAGTTCTTTTTGTCTTGAATCTGAGCACGTACATCCTAAGTGCTGTGTCGGAAGTTTCTTGGGTTGATTCATTTTCTCCTCCAGGAGATGACCATGGCTTGACTTCTTTGTTCTTCACCCTTTTTCAGAATTTTTTATGTTTTTATTTATAAACAACATATAACGTTTTGGCATATTTAACAGCTTTTTGTTAAATACCATACTAAAAATATACCATATTGTATATTTCCTTCCCCGATTCAGTCTTGTTGTGTCAGCGCTCCGGCAGTTGTAAGATTTACCTGTCAGCGCACGTGGCAAGGCCTGTCCTCTGACTGCCCGAACTCCTGTTCCACGAGTAGACGGGTACTTGTTTCTTCCATTCGAAAGACATTTAGGTTGTGCTTTGCTACTAACAAAAATTGCTGCAGGAAGGACCTCGTGAAGCGGATTTTGGTGCGAGTTGAAGGTGCGCACAGCCCCGGGCCGCTAGCCCTCTTCCCGCGTCAGCCTCAGCCGAGCGCTTTGGTTTTCTCTCTCATTGTTCCTTGTCACTTGCAGTGACTCTCGAAAGGTCACATCTGACAGTTTGGGTCTGGAATCTGATGGCATTGGTCTTGTCGGCGGTTTCCAGCGGTCAGTGGGGATGTTCGGCGACAGTCACAGAGCCATGGCTGCCTCGGCGGGGGCGGCTCCAGCGTGGGAGCTCTCCACCTGGCCACATCCGAGAGTCAGCCAAGGAGCCGAAACATCACTGACACGGCAGCTTCTTGCTGAAGGTCTTGATCCGGGGAGAACGTGTGCGTCTGTCAGACGGTGGCTCCTAGTTCCTTAAATCTCTGACCACGCCAGGGTGAGAGCAGGCATGTTGGGTCACACGGCTTCTCGGGACTTTGGAGAGGAGGGGAACGAGAACCTGCTGTTAGCAGTAGTTTTGCCCGGGACGTGGTGATTTTCTCAGATGAGAGCTAAGTGAAGCAGGGAGATGCTTGGTCGCATGGAGCTGGCAGTCCACGCATTTTGAACCCAAGCTTCATTTTGTGCCTGGAAGAGGAAGGACAGCAGATTGCCTGCCCGGGCCTGCAACATGCACCTTTGCTCTTCGTTGTGTTTCTTGGTCCTGTGGGTGTTTCTGGAGCGTCGACTCCTTGTCATGCCAGCAGATTTGGTTTTGGAAACTCAGCAGTGGCTGTAGGGTACGTGTGACATACACCATGCCAGAGTCCCTGAAGAGAGGAACCTGATGCTGTTGGGGGCCTTGGAATTAGGATTTGGCCCTGACAGGGAGCTTTCCTGGGAGGGTGGAGCCCACGGAGGGGTGGGAAATGTGTCCTGGAGGTGGAAGGGAGCAAGGAGAGAGGGCAGGGCACAAGGCCCCAGGAAGGTGGGGGTGCGGCCAGTCCGGGAGAGGGCCCGGCGGGAAGCCAGGACGCTGGGTGTGCACATACTGGGATTATTTGGCTCCTGCAGTGAGGAGCCTAGGAGGCGCAGTCTGGGACCCCCGGGGTGCTCGGGTGGGGTGCTGTCTCTCTCTGCTCTTAGGGACCCTGCGCCATAGCAGTGGGCTTTGTTCCTACATTTTGCCTCCACTTGCAGCCAGGCCCCTGTTCCTGGCAAGGGAGGAGGAGGTGGGGGAGCACAGACTCCCTACGTCCCCAGCTCAGGGCACAGCCAGTCCAGCTGCAGGGGATTCCTGAGCCCATGGAGGTTTAGCTCCCAGCATGTTGTAGCCCCAAACAGGACAGTCGGACTGGGCTGGTGAAGAGCGAGAGGAGGTGGGCGTTTTAATGGAGACCTGGTGCTGTCAGCGCCCAAGGGGCTGAAGAGCTCACAGTTATCCCGGGGTCAGTAGGAGCCCCTGGAAGGGCCAGGTGCGCCCCTGTCATGGTCTGGGGTGCATTTTGGAGAGGCTGCCCTAGTGTACTGAGGGTTGGGGTGCACGTGGGTGGCCTGGAAGAGCCGAGGGTGCTTGCTGGGACCTCGTGGCACTGAGCTAGTGGTATGACTGGGCAGACCAAGAGTGCTAGATGGACAGACGAGCGCACATTGGGAGCTGAGGGAGGGAGGGGAAGGATGGTTCTGAGTGTCTGGTGCTGCCCCAGCCTGGGAGCAGGGCCGGAGCCAGGTTGCTGGTGTGGTGAGAGCCCCGAGTTCAGTCTGGATCATGCTGTGTTTGAGGCCTCTGAGCGCCTGCAGGCAGAGGAGCAGGGAGCGGTGGGGCAGGTGGCCTGAGCTCCTAGGAGGGGTTTCGGCCGGGAGGTGACAGTGTGCGTCCCTCATTCAGTGCTGGTGGGTGGCAGAGGAGCCACCCCCTGGTCACTCAGTGCAGCCAGCTCAACAGCTAAATACCCCCTGCTGCGCACGCCTAGACGTTAGGGGTAAAATAGAACGGGCGCCCTTTCAGGTACGTAACTGAGCCCTTCTAGATAAAAGGGGACCCCAGCTCTCAGAAACTGTGAGCGAACAGGCAGTTCGAGCGGTCAGCCATGTGAGGCTGCCTGGGCCAGGTGGGGGCAGCCTGGGGACTCAGGTTTGATGTCACAGGGGAAGGAGGTCAGACTCCGGCCCTCCTGAGATGGGGCAGACACTTGTCACTGAGAACCTTGGAGAACTTGCCGACCAGCACAGGGGAGAGACCACTTCTGGCTTAGGAGGGGAGGGGAGGGTTCTCGCTTGAGAAATCGTGACCACAGGCCTGAGCACCAAGCAGGTGTAGGTTTGATATGCTGAGGGTTTGTCTAGAAAGTAGCATAAAGTTGGTCCTGGGTTGGTGACACCCCTGGGGCGCCTGGCAGAGGCAGACTCCAAACCTGTTTAAAGGCACACCCTCAGCTCTAGAAGGAATTCTCTCAGCCCAGAGTGCAGGGCTCCACATATCAGGATCTGCTGAAGGTGATTATGTATGAAGTGCACCAGGAACTGTCCCCCAAGAGCCAGCCTCAGCTGACACAGAAGACAGGATTACGTTGATAAGGTCTTTGGATAATGCACTGTCAGAGACTGAAAAATGCAAGATGTAAAGAAGGAATCGAAAAGGAAACAATAAGACGCTATGAGAAAAACAGGCCAATTTGAAAGGGAACCGAGTAGAACACCCATAAATGAAAAATGCCATCATTGAAATTTAAAACCCAGTAGATAGGGCCGGCCCCGTGGCTTAGCGGTTAAGTGCACGCGCTCCACTGCTGCTGGTGGCCCGGGTTCGGATCCTGGGCGCGCACCAACGCACCACTTCTCCGGCCATGCTGAGGCCGCGTCCCACATACAGCAACTAGAAGGATGTGCAGCTACGACATACAGCTATCTAATGGGGCTTTGGGGGATATAAATAAATAAATAAAATAAAATAAAAATTTATAAAAAAAAAAATGAAACCCGGTAGATGGATTGAAAACTCAATGTCTCTGGCAGTGGCAGAGCAGTCCTCCCGTGAAGAGCAACTCGAAATGCTGGACAAAATATTAAAAAGTCAGTGAGGGCCTGGGAGAGCCCAGCCGGAAAAGTTTTTGTGGGACCAAGATCCATGAGGGGAGAGGCCCAGGATGGTGGCCCCTCTCCTCCGTGGCTTTGGCTGGTTCCAGAATGGGTGGGAAGGTGCAGACCCCTTGTGACAGCCTCAGGGAGCAGGTGGCACAGACCTCAGGCTTGGGCTGAGCTGAACCAGCTCAGGGGCCAGGGGTCTTGGGGCGGCGAGACGGGGGTTCTGGGTCCTGCCCTGTGGTGAGGGGAAGGCAGCCAAGAGGATGGGACACTGCAGCCAGGGCTGCCCGCGTCCCAGGGCAGTGGACTAACACAGTAAGGAAACAAGGCCGAAATTCCACGCTTGCATTTTTCAAATTATGTTAAATTGGTCATTAAAACGTGGAGGCCGTTGAAATGTTCACAGACAGAACTAACACCTTTGCTTTTCTTGCTGTTTCAGCCTGTGCCCCACACTTTTCTGGGAGAGGTATGCCACCAGGATCGCCGCTTCCTTCCCTCCTGGGGTCCCTGCACCTGGGGAGTCAGCATGACCCATGCTGGCCGCTGTCCTTGAGATAAACGCCTTTCTCTCGCTGTGGCAGCAGCATGTCTGTGTCAGGAAAACCCCAGGGAGCGGCTGAGCTCACCCCTGGCCCCGAGGAGAAGCCAAGGGGAAAGCCGCTCTTCAACTGGGGCTCTCTCTTCGGCCACCGAAGTGAGAAGATTGTCTTCGCTAAGAGTGACCGAGCCCCGGAGGAGAACATGCTCACTATCACCATCACGGAGACCACCATCATCGAGTCGGACCTGGGTGTGTGGAGCTCCCGGGCCCTGCTCCACCTCACGCTGTGGTTCTTCTTCAGCTTCTGCACCCTCTTTCTCAACAAGTACATCCTGTCCCTGCTGGAGGGGGAGCCCAGCATGCTAGGTAACCAGACCCTTAGCATCCGGGGCCGAGAGCCGAGGGGCCCTTGTGCTTGTGGGTCAGTGCGTTATGTGTGACAAGCGCAGGAAAGAGCCAACAGCCCCCGAGAGGGAGGAGGAGAGCTTGGGAGACGAGGGTGCCTTGGGAACATGGAATGGCATGTTCTGTCTGCCTGTGCACTAGGAAGGGAAATAATTCTCTTTTTTCAGCTTGGCCCCTTCGTCTCCCTACTTCAGGTGCTGTGCAAATGCTGTCAACTACGTTTATTGGATGCATTAAAATATTTGTTCCTTGCTGTTTATATCAGCACAAAACCCGGCTTTCTTATCCACCCAACTTCATCATGATCATGCTGTTTGTGGGTCTAATGAGGTAAGGAATCTGACATTTTTGGTTGAGTGTCTAAGTGTTTTTATATATAAAAGATCTTTCCCATCACTAAGAATGTGAAGTCAGCTGACTGACATGATTAACTGATGATAGGTGTGTTTTCAGTGTAAACATTATAAAATTATAAGGGCTATATAGATTTTAGGACAACAAATATATTTGGTTTTGTGGCTTTAATGCCACATGTATTTGATCAGATTGTTTCTGGAACAGCCATGAAAGCAATTTAATGATGGTTTAAGAGTAATATGCCTCCTCCTCCCTGGGTCTGATGCTCTGGTGACGGTGGAGCAGCAGAAGTCTTTGCAGGTGGGTGGCAAAGCCGTTTCCTGGAGGGCCCGGCCTAGAGGAAGTGGCGAGGAAGGCCAGTGAGCAGGAGGAGGCAGGAGGAGGAGGAGAAGCGGGGTTGGGTTGGAGGTACCTGCGGCCGGGCTAGCTCCTCAGCGAGTGCGTCTCTCCTATAGAAGAGCTGATCCGTCCTCACCTTCTGTCGGCTTCTTAGGTTCACCACGGTGGTTTTGGGGCTCGTCAGCCTGAAAAACGTGGCAGTCTCGTTCGCTGAGACGGTCAAGAGCTCTGCGCCCATCTTCACCGTGATCATGTCGCGCATGATCCTAGGCGAGGACACAGGTGAGGGGCCCCCTCCGGCTGGCACCCACTCCTTACCCTCCCCCTGCCCACCTGTGCCTGGCGTGGCGGCTCCATCCGGGCTGGGGTCACTTTCACGCTGGCGAACGCCGTCACTTCTCTCCCGTCTTTGTAGGGGTCACAGGCTGCCTCATTCACTTAGGTGTTTTTTCGCGTCTGCTGCATGGGGGTCAGAGGCGTTCCGGTTGGTGGGGGCAGTAGGAGCTGGGAAAGAAGTGATGACCAACCTCAGGGGCCGTCCCTCATCCCAGGAGGATAAGACTGTCTTCCGCGTCATGCGAGGTGGTGCCTGGTGGCAGGAGGGCTCAGCTCCGGCAGGCGCAGTGACTTGTCCCAGCTCCCCTGCTGGACGGAGCGCCTGACTGCCCTTCCTGAGTTGCCACCCACCTGCATCCTTCCTGGCCCCTCTGACCGCCTCGTCCTTGTCACTTCTTGCTCCTCACTGCTTTTCAGCTGTGCTTCTCCGTCCTCCCCAGGGTTCAGCACATGGGATTTATTTACTCATCTCCAACCTTTAATGACAGGCAGGCTGTTTCCAGCTAGTTACACGTTACACACACTCCCTGTTTCTCCTACAACCTCTATGAGAAGGAGCATATCCGATATTGTTCCGTGAAAACAAGTAAAGTGCAGAATAATGCATATGATATGTAATCTTTCTAAGACGAGCACTAATAGATGTAGATATGTACTTGCTTCAATTAGGAAAATGGCAAGATCCTAAAATAAGGCGAGTACCTACCGTAGAGGGAGGGAGGAGAATTGCTGAGGGGACAAGGACACAGCTGGCCTTCTCACAGATGTGCCTTGGGAGCCATGCAGACGTTTTAGCTGATGGTAAAGCAAAATCAAGTCGCGTCATTCCTAAAAATTATAAGCAACATGAAACAAATGAGCCTGATTGCACATCAAGCTGGTAGCTTAACCACACAAAAAGGTTTATTTCAAATGACTTGAAGACATGATTTGAGTAGAAATAGAAGTACAATGATGTACACCTGAAATTTTTGCAATGTTATAAACCAATGTTACTGCAATAAACAAAAAATTAAAAAAAAAAGACAAGATTTGCCTTCCAGCTGTGGTGGATAAGCTTGTAGCAAAACAGCTCTCTTGCTGAGAACAATTAGAAAATCTTGACAAAATTTAGGAGAAAGAAATGTGTTGGGAGGCACTGGAGAGTGACCGAGGTACCAGGACTCATGGGGCCAAGATTTTGGGGCCAAGAGTCACCCAAAGAAGTGACCCCGGCCTCCCCTCCACACAGGGGCATTTGCTAATTCTCGAGCAGCGCTGGGAATCTGGGCGGAGCAGCCTCATGGGGCTGAAGGGCAGGAGCTGGCGGGGTCTGCCAAGGGGGGAGGGCCCGGACTTTCATCTGGGACCCGAATCTAGGGAACCCTATGGCTAGAGGCATCTGTCACACCTGGACTGCATCCCAGCAGCAGAACAAGTTCTTCCTGGAGGAGGAGACTGCACTCACGGTATCTAGCTCTCTCTGTGCCTTTCATACTTAATGTCCGTCATTCAACAAAAATTTCCAGGCAGACCAGAGGACGAGACCAAATGATGGAGAACCGAGAGGGCACTCGAGACGCAGATCTCCCCCACCCACTGCCCCAACACACCTTTCTTATGCTCCTGGCCTCGTGACTGCTTGGGGCCTGTGGCTTGGCTGTGTTGACTGACTCACAGGCTCGTCAGTTCACTGATCTTCCTGAGGAGCCTGAGTTACTGCTCTGGACAGCACTGTCCTGTGACGGGGAGAAGACCGCTGCCTGCGAGGTCAACGTAGAGCGTCGGGGGGCTGGGCTTTTATTCCCTGTTCCCAAGCACAGAAGGCTCATACCCTCGTCTGTTTTGAGCTTCCACATAAACTCAGGGCTGTATCTGGAATGAAAGCAGAGGTGAGACGAGGTGCGGTGCCCCGTTTCCAGCGCGACGGTGCGGGCCGCACCCGTGAGTTTCCATTGCACTGAGTGGATTTGTTTACCATTCTTGTTCAGGTTGTTAGATTTCAGAACGAAGCAAAGAGGAATAAAGTCAGGCCGGCCCGGTGGTGCAGCAGTTAAGTTCACGGGCTCTGCTTCAGCGGCCTGGGGTTCGCAGGTTCAGATCCCGGGCGCAGACCTACACGCCGCCTGTTAAGCCATGCTGGGGCAGCGTCCCATATATAAAAGAGGAAGATGGGCACGGGTGTTAGCCCAGGGCCAGTCTTCCTCAGCAAAAAAATAAAAATAAAAGTTAAAAAAGAGGAATAAAGTCCACGTGGGCACTCATAGAAGCCTCCCTGCACCAGGCTTTAAATGGCAGCCCTCCCTGCCCCTGGTTTTCCCTTTTTAATAGAATTACCTGGCCACCGTCGACCATCTCATTCACCTTCCTCATTTTGCAAGTGAGAAGTCATGGAACCATGGGTGCGTGCACGGAGGTGGGGTTTCCAAGCGGAGGGCTCAGGTCTGGTTCATAATGCCCCCCAGGCCCAGCAGATGCACCTCACAGAGAAACAGCCTTCTGAGGTGCCTGGCTCTGGAGGGGTAATGGGACTTATTTGTAGACGTGGACTTTCATTTGCGGTATTTTCCCTCCCACATAAAGAATCTGGTAGAACATGTACTTGTTTGCAGATTAAAGTGCAAGTCTGTAGCTTTCATAGAGGGGGTGGAAGCAGCCTTGGCACCTGGATGAGAGTTCGCAGCCAGGTGTACTGATTCCTGCCGTCTCTTGTGTGTGTTATGCCCTTTCAGGGTTGCTGGTCAGCCTCTCCCTTATCCCGGTCATGGCAGGGCTGGCGCTGTGCACAGCGACCGAGATAAGCTTCAACATCCTGGGGTTTTCAGCTGCGTTATCCACCAACATCATGGACTGGTGAGTCATGAAGAGCGTGGGGACACGGTGTGCTCGAGAAGTAGCACTCGCCTTCCGTCACCTGGATGGTGGGTATTTGCATCCAGGTTAACTCAGTCACTCCCCGTATTCAAAGCTGGGTACGTCTGATGCTGTCTTTTCCAAATAGAAAGCAGTAAGTGCCCCAGTAAGGTCACTTTTTTTCAAAAAAGAAGCCAGAATTTGACGATACGTGGTCTTAATACTTGAAAACACTCATCGTAGGGATACAGGTAGCTGATAAATGCTGAAATGCACAAAGTAAACACAGCCCTACCCACATAGGAAATATGTGTGCATTCAAGCTAAAGAAAACAGAAGAGGCTGTCTTATAGCTGGAACAAGGGGCGGTTCCTGGAGTGGTGGCCAGGAGCCCTCCGGTTGTTCGGGCGGCCCCTCTCCTGCCTAGTGGGTGGTCTGTGTCCTGCATTGCCACTGCAAAGAGGGCAATGAGAGCTGGACTCATGTGGTGTGGACCTGTGGCTGGAAGTGAGGAAAGGCTTTGTTGTCCTGCAGTAGGAGAGGGGACAGCATCACATTCCGAGCGGCTGTTTAGATTAGTCTAGAATGGGTCGTCTTGCATATGGGCTGTGCTGTTGAAGACCACACTTACACCTCAGCAAAACCTGTTCTTTCAGAATTACTAATCCCTTCTAGGTTTCCCCTATTTCTGAGAAGAGAGGAGGCAACAGCATGGGTATCCAAGAGTTACTGCTGCTGTTACCGCTAAAGTGGAACAGGCCCACCTTGAGGTTTTGAATAATACTGCTAAGTAAAAACAAAAATCATGTTTAATTTCATTTCTTACACTTCATGTACTTGGTTCCAGCTTTTTCCCTCTGCATTTGTAGCTCATAGAAACAATGCGGGTGAGATCACATGTTCAGTTTGCATCTCGCTTTATGACTCCGTGTGATCCTGCGAGCATTGCTCCCTGGCTGGACTTGGTCCAGAAGCCAGAGTTCTGTGACCACCTCCTCATTCACCTCGCAGATGCTCCACGACTAAAGGATTCTTCTGTTTAAATCTGCGAGGAGGTTTTTTTTGACACGAGTCTCCGTCTAAGTTTCTGACTGTCCTGTAGTGAAATCCCTAGACGGGAGATGGAGCCGGTGAGCTTCTCTGAACGGCTCCTGATCTGTGCTCTCAATGTTTCTGAAACGGTTGTTCAGGTTTATGGTTCCGTCGAGACAGCTTCTGTCTGATTTCGTCCTCGACTAAATTTTTTCATTACAACAGAATAAAGCCCTGCTTCTAGAGTCCAGAGGGCAGAGTCGTTAGTTAAGTGCCAACTCCTGTGTCCTGAGGAAGCTGGACGCTGTTTAGTTTTATCCTTGGCTGTGTGTGAATTCTCCGTGGTCTGTCTGTCCCGTTCAGGGGTTTTGTCTGTGTTTTTCTACACGTTGCTACATGTGTTTTCTACTTCATGTGCTTAGTTTTGTTCACTTGCGCCACATGTTGGGTCCCTGGGTGCCCAGCCCGTGGCAGTTGCTGATTTACGGGAACTCTTGGTTCAGAGTGGGGTTTTATGCAGCACTTAGAGCAGGGACTCTGGGATCCTGGGATCCTCTGACACCTGAGAGCTAGGCGACTTCAGGCCTGTTGCTCAACCTCTCAGTGCCTCGGTTTGCCCATCTGTAAGAGGGGACAGGCATGGTGCCCGCTCGTGGTGGAGTGATGCCTAGGAAACGCCCAGTGTGAGTTGCTCACAGCGGACATGCAGTGGCCGGCCGAGGTGCTGACCAGCGTTGTCACTGCTGGGAGCCACAGTGCTTCGTCTGCTTGCCGCTCACGCTAACTTCCTATATCGACGGCTGACCTCTTCTTTTCTTTATTCTAGTTTGCAAAATGTTTTTTCAAAAAAGCTCCTGAGCGGGGACAAATACAGGTTCTCGTAAGTATCATTAACAAGTGAGATCTCCAATTTCATGCACCGGAGAGGACCCCTGCCCATGGGGAGAACAGGATGCCCTGGAGACCGAACACTTTTCCCATCTTGGCTTAGGTGGCGTTTAAAAGAACCTTGTTGGGCCAGCCCCGTGGCTTAGCGGTGAAGTTTGCGCGCTCCGCTGCTGGCGGCCCGGGTTCGGATCCTGGGCGTGCGCCGACGCACCGCTTCTCCAGCCATGTTGAGGCCGCGTCCCACATACAGCAACTAGAAGGATGTGCGACTATGACATACAGCTGTCTGCTGGGGCTTTGGGGAGAAAGAAAAAAAGGAGGAGGATTGGCAATGGATGTTAGCTCAGAGCCGGTCGTCCTCACGAAAAATAAATAAATAAATAAATAAAGTACCTTGTTGAAACTTGCAATTAAAAAACTCACTGTTTTGGGGCCGGCCTGGTGGCGCAAGCAGTTAAGCGCGTGCACTCCGCTGCCAGGGCCCGGAGTTCGCCGGTTCGGATCCTGGGCGTGCACTGACTCACCGCTTGTTAAGCCATGCTGTGGTGGCGTTCCATATAAAGTTAGAGGAAGATGGGCACGGATGTTAGCCCAGGGCCAATCTTCCTCAGCAAAAAAGAGGAGGATTGGCAGATGTTAGCTCAGGGCTGATCTTCCTCACACACACACACAAAAAAACCCACTGTTTTGAGCTACCCCATCAAGGCACCTGAACGACCAGCTCTTCTGTGGCTGCCTTTTAATTTCCGGTAGCCGTGTAGGTTGGCTCTGTCACGCCCGGGCCCTCCTTGTCCTCCCAGGAGAATAGAAGCTTCTAGTGTGCTTGGGTACTTTAGAAGGTTCTTGCTGTGGAGTATCTGGGTTGGAACCTGGCCTCTTCCCGGCGTGGACAGAGGGTCAGGTGCCTCTCTTGCCCCGCAGGGCTGCCGAGCTGCAGTTCTACACCAGCGCTGCGGCCGTGGCGATGCTGGTTCCAGCCTGGGTCTTCTTCATGGTAAGTTTCAGGAATGGGACGCTCCTTGTTGCCTGCGCTGCCATTTATCCTCAGTGAGTCAAGAGCCGAATGATTTAAAACTCCAGGGCACGTGGCTAGCTCAAGGTGTTGTGGCTTTGCTGAATTGTTCACAGAGAGTCAGTGAACGTGCCTCCAAGGAGAAGGGAGAGAAAGTGGAAGCCAAACCTTGGCGGGTCTGTGATGCGAGTTCCTGCCCACCGGGGGCAATCCACAGCTGTAGTTGAGGAGTTTTCTGAAATTTGTATGTGAGGGTTTTTAGACTTGCTTATTTTTTATTATTATTGTTATTTTAAAGTAACATATGGCTGCCGTAGAACAATCAACAGGGCAGGAGTATGTAAAACAAGAGAGAAGGTCTGTCTCTGGGTCCCTCCCAGTCCTACTAGAGGACCCCTTTCCAGAGGCATCTGTGTGGCTAGAAACATACTCATGCATGCCGTGACATAAATGCTTAACGATGCTTCAGTCACGACAGACCACATGTGCAACGGTGGTCGCACAATTTCAGTACCATAGAGCCCACCTAGGTTTGTGTAAGTACACTCTGACGTTCCCACAACGACGACATCGCCTAACGACACGTTTCTCAGAACGTGCCCCTGTCATTAAGCGACGTGACTGTACGTGGTAATGGTATGTAGTGTGATTCTGTTAGTCTTATAAAAGCATCTTATATATCTGTGCGGACCTTCTTGTTTTTAACACAAATGGAACTGGGCTGCCCCGTCCTATAATCGTGCTCCTGGTGTGGCTCTGCCCTAACCCATCACTGCCCCGTGGATGGATGTTTGATTGCTTGGCGCTTTTCCCTGTTACGTACACACAGCAGGGAACTTCTTGTGTCATGTCTTTAGCAGATGAGGGTGTTTCTCTGGGACACATTCTTGGAATTGGAATGGTTAATTGAAAGAATATGCACATCTAAAATTATTTTTATTGTAAAATATACATACATAAAATTTACCATTCTAACCATTTTTAAATGTACATCCAGTATGTTCACATTGTTGTGCAACCATCACCACCATCTGTCACCAGAACTTACTCGTCATCTCAAACTGAAACTGTCTCCATTTGACACTAACTCCTCATTCCCCCTGTAGGGGAGACAGAACTTGACCTCTCCCCTCCCAGGTTCTCCAGCTGGGCCTGAGAATTCAAACTGACATAAATTAAACTGACATGAAGACAGATTCTGAGGAGACAAGCACACAGATTTATTTAATATAAGCTTTATGTGACACGGGAGCCCTCATGAGGCAGCAGAGACCCAAAGAAGTTGCAAAACCTGAGCGTTTTCCTGTTCAGTTGAACAAAGAGACAATTGTGGAAAAGTAACTGGATTGTGTGGGCAGGCTGCTGGAAGATGGCAGTTGTTTCAGCACGGTCTGTGCGCAGAATTCTCACGGCCTGACTCCTGTCCTTGAGGATTCGACTGTTTCTTCCCTGAGGGGGTTTCCTGTTCTGCTCTCAGGAAGAAAAAGGGAGCTCAGAGCATCCTTCTTGCACCTGCTGTTTTCTAATTGTCTTTAGCTGAAAACAATCCTTATGCCAAAGAGGCATATTCAGGGGAAGTGTGTTCTGAACTCCTTCAGCACCCCACCCAGCCGCTGCACCCACCATTCTCCTTTCTGCCTCTATGAACTTGACTACTCTAGGGACCTCATGTAAGTGGAATAGCACAGTATTTGTCTTTTTGTGACTGGCTTATTTCACTTAGCATGTGCTCAGGGTTCATCCATGTTGTAGCCTGTGTCAGAATTTCCTTCCTTTTTAATGCTAATATTCCATTGTATGGATAGACCACATTGTGTTTATCCATTCATCCTTTGAGGGACAGTTGGGTTATGTCCACCTCTTGACTATTGTAAATAATGCTGCTATGAACATGGGTGTGCAAGTATTTCTTCAAGACCCTCTTTTCAGTTTTTTGGGTATAAACCCAGAAGCAGATTTGCTGGATCATATGGTAATTCTCTTTAATTTTTTTTTTTTTTTTTGGTGAAGAAGACTGGTCCTGAGCTAACATCCCTTGCCAATCATCCTCCTATGTTTAATTTTTTTCTCCACATCATCATCGACACTTGTTATTTTCTGTTTGTTTTTGGGATTTTTTTTTTAATAGTAGACATCCTCATGGATGTGAGGTGGTATCTCGTAGGGTTGATTTGCATTTCCGACAGTTAGTGATGTTGAGCGTCTCTTCACGTGCTCGTTGGCATGTGTATGCACATGTTTAAAGTTTTGATAAATGCTGTTCAGTTGCCGCCCTGGAAGGCTCTCTTCAGAGCTCTCTTCCACCTCAGCTCATTTACCAGAGGACTGGGTGGCACTCTGTGTTTCCATGGGTGATTGATCACAAGAAGAGGGCCCCTGCAGAGCATCGTGTTTGTCCTGGCACATAGGGCCTGCCTGTGATCGGGGGGAGCGGGAAGAGCTTCAGTCTCAACCAGGACGTCGCGTTGCTGCTGCTGACGGACGGCGTGTTCTTCCACCTGCAGAGCGCCACAGCCTATGCCCTCATGGGGGCAGTTTCCCCTGTGACTTTCAGGTGAGCATGGGGACCCCCAGCTTATCTGCAGAGGAGAAGACTTGGAATCTGGGTGTGTTGATGAAAGATATTTGTGATTGCAGAATGCTGTTGTAACGACTGGTCATGCATCATAATTACTAGGCAGTTTTGTATTGGTGCTATTTGAAATACAAATAGGAAGTGTGTGAAATAGATTTTTAGGGAAATCCCCGCTAGAAATGGTTACATTAGAGTAGAAGTTGTTTGGAGTAGTTTGAGTATTCTTCTGTCTAGACCAGCACCATCCGTGGAATTGCCCGCAGTGATGGAACGCTCTGTCCCTGCGCTGTCCAGGTGGGGAGCCATGGGCCACACGTGGTTACTGAGCACCTGAAATGTGAGCACAATGAGGATCTGAATTCTTAATTTTATCTAATTTTAATCACTTTGAATAGCCACACGTGGCCATTGGCTCTGATATTGGATGGCACAGCTCTGGGAACTTAGAGGTGAGCTAAACATCTCATTAGCTTCTTTTCACTTCCATAACTGGACAGATTTAATGAAAGCACAATTTAAAGACTGGAGAGTTTTCGGTAACAAATAGAAAGGAATGTGCCGATGTCCCCACCAGGCCTAGAAATCCATGTGCTGATGCCTGCAGCTTTGGCTACATCATACTCTTGCGTGGTCTTTTGTTCTTTAACTCCTGAATTGTCACCAGAGAGAAGTGGAATTGTCCCTAGATGTGATCGAATCTTGCTACTGTTAAGCCTCATTGAGCCGCACCTGCAGCAGCCTCAGTTTATCCAGGCGTACACGCTGTCGCCACTCTCTGGAACAGCCCAGTCCTCTCTCTGCTTGTTTTCATCTGGCTTGGGCCAGGACAGTAAATACTCACATCCACCTGAGCCCAGCAGCTGTGCAGTGCACGAGCCACGTACTGCAGCTCAGGAGTCAAGGAGCAGAACCATCCCTATGCAGGTCCGCAGGTGCTGTGCTGTGGCTGGACCGCTGCCCATCCAGCCCTCACGTTTCCTGGGTCCTGAATAGCAGGTGTCTGCAGGAACATCACGAGCAGTCGTGATCTGAGTTCTTCTGGAGCTCATGGTGGTCACTGTCCCTGTCACACATTCTTGTTTCTGTTTGGGGCAAGGAGTTATTTCCAAATATTCCTGCAACTTTGTTTTTCAGTGATCATTAGTGATGGTTCAAAAAAAGATAACAGAAAACCAATTTTTTTTAAGAAAATAGCTTTTTTGTTGTTATAAGAGCGATACTTACTCATTATAGAAAGTTTGAAAAAGGCAGAAAAGTACAAAAAATAAAGTTTAAATTATCCACAATCCCAACCCCAGAGACAACACTGTTGACATTTTGGTGTATTTCACTTTATTTTGACAAGTCCTAGCATTGTCTGTACAGCACTGTCCTTACCTAACAGACAGTCTCTCTAAGAGACCGTTGCTCTTTGGTGCTGTAAAGTATCACAGGTGTGTGCGAAGTTTTCTTCTCTTTAGAGAGCAAATGGAAGTTTTTAGGGGTAAAGTGTCATAATGTCTATAATTTACTTTCAAATATTTCAGTCAAAAAAAGGATGAAGCAAATGAGGCAAAATGTTAATTATTAAGTCTAGAAGATGAGAGTATGGCTCTCATCATTTCCCTACGTCTCTGTTCAACGTTTTTCCTAATAAAAAGTCCCCCCAAAAAAGAAAGAAAGAAGGAGGGGCAAGGGAGCAAGCTATTAAAGGCGTCCTCGGCCCCGCCCCGCGCTCAGCTGCCACCGTGCCAGAGCAGCGCTGCCATTCGCCTGGCGTGTGCGGGCCGTGGGGCTGGACGCAGGCCTGAGTGCAGGCTGTGACCCTCTCTGGCCCTCCTCTGTCCTTACAGCGTTGCTAGCACCGTGAAGCACGCCTTGTCCATCTGGCTCAGTATTATAGTTTTTGGCAACAAAGTCACCAGCGTGTCAGCCATTGGCACCGTCCTGGTAACAGCTGGCGTCCTGCTCTACAGCAAGGCCAGGCAGTACCAGCGGGAGGCAATGCAGAGCCTCGCTGCAGCCACCAGCAGGACGCCGGAGGATGACGTGGAGTCACTGGTCCCTAAGGACCCCAGACCACACCACTGAGCTCTGGAAACCTCAGCCCGTGCCGAGGGCCCTGAGGCGCCACCCACTGCTGCTCTCCTCCACGCTGACACGGGATCCCCTCTGCCTCTCCTGCTCCCTGGAAACCAGGCTCGGGGACACCCAGCCTCCACAGGTCACAGTTGGAGTGCAGGAGACTGGGGGATGTATAGCCTTTCCTGCTCCTTTTTTGGGTCTTCAGTCAAAACTGTCAGGAACTTGAATGGGGAATCCCAGATGTCAGCTCCCTAGGGCAGAGACCAGAGCCAGCTGCCACTGAGCCATCACCAAATAATGTGAAAACCGCCTCCCGCTGACCCCATGCTGAGCACACGGGAGGGTGTTGGGACCAGGGACCAGCCTCTGCACACCTCTCGCCGGGCAGGCAGTTCCAGCTGCAGGGAGGCCAGGCCCAAATTCCTCTGGGGGGTACAACTGTGAAGCCAGAGCTGGGTCCCAGTGCACGCCGCTCCCCGCTTGGTGCTAGTGGAGGGAACCCAGCATCCCCACGCCAGCCATCCAAGGCCACCCAACTCCTCAGCCATCTGGGGAGACTGCTGTGCTGGGACAGAGGCCACTTCGCCCACTAGCTAGGCACAGAGGTCACAGCAGCCTGAGAGACCACAGAGCTGGGCAGAGTGGGGAGGGGACAGATAGGGTGCAGACAAAGGGTCTCCTGCTGCTGAGGGCGGGGCATTGGGCCCTTGCCTTCCCACCGTTCCACCTGAGGCGTCCTCCCACCCCACAGCTGCCAGCATCTGGCAAGGTACCACTTGCAGACAGGTCATTCGTGGAGGGGAGGGGTGCCCCACCCCCTTTCAGAGTCTGTGCTACACTAAGGCCCCTACCTCCCAAAGGTCTTGTCCCTCACCTGTGGCCAGGGCTCTGGCCAGTGACCCCCGATGTGGTGATTTCCGGCCCTAGAGGTTGAGGACAGACATCTTCAGTGTTTAACTTGGGGCAGGGAGATGCTGACATTCTCTCTTGTCCTGGGCTCGTGTATGTAACGAAGGCTGTGCTGAAGGGCTCCCGTGGGTGCGCTTTCTTCACTCAGCTGGTCAGGAGCCGAGCCTTAACTTGGTCTCATGGAAGAGGATGTTGTGGTTTTCCCTTGTGAATGGATGAGCAGGGGGAGCAGTGGGAAGAAGGTTTGCAGTGTTTTCAGTTTTTGTTATGCTGCACTTAAAATGACAGTAGTTTTTTAAAAAGGAAGCACAGGCACAGATGCTCCTGGGATGCACCGCCTGTGCCGGGTGAGCCCCCTCTGAACCGCAGCCCGCCGGCCGGGCCCCTCCCAGAGCCTGTGTCGGCTCGAGGCTCCTGACCTCTTCACCTCATCCCTCATCTCGCCTCCTGGTGCGATTTCTGATCAGACCAGGTCCATCGCCAGCCAGTCCTTGAGGCCCTCCCCATTGCTCCAAGCTCGAGTTGTGGGGCTTGTCAGATGCAGCCCAACTAGTGGCCATGCTCTGGCCACCTGGCTGTCGGAAGCTTGCCTGCTGGGACTGAGCGAATTAACTGAGGAAAGGAGTTTAAGGCACTAATTGTTCCCTAAGTGTCATTCCCCTCCCTGCGGTTCAGGTCCTTGGCTCCCATAATTGGTTCACTGGTTTTCCAGTTGGCTTCTCAACTGGAAAATATAAAAACAGCCCGTCCTGTAGGTCAAATGTCTTGGTAACAAAGAGCAATAATTACGTCTCATTAAGTTCTGCCTACCTGAAAAAGTTTGCCATGATGATGGATGAAAATGAGGCCTTTTCAACTATAACCTTTTCATGAAGCTGAGCTGCGTCTAGAGGACAGGCAGGCGTGTCCTTGCGTGCGTGACCAGCTCACCTTCACTGTGCAGACGTTTCTCCTGTGGCTTCCCCAGGTTTCTAGTCCCACTCCTCTTTTCCTGCTTCCCCCAAAACACAGCTAAGAGGATTGCTTGGAGGTGGCTGGGGTGGTGGGATGGTTCATTGATCTGTGAGAACCCAAGTGAAAGCACCACTTCCACGGGGCTCCTGCCTCCGCCTTCGAGAAGGTGGCTGCTGCGCCAGCTGCCGACAGTGGGATATGAACAGAGAAGGGGACATGCCTTTGGTTGCCCCCTTGCAGGGTCTTCACGTTGGCCTTCTCACAGACTTTGTCACCTGAGTGTAACGAGATAGGCAGTCGCCTGCGTCCCAGTATTACTAGGGATTTCTGGTCCCTGTCTCATGTGGAACTACAAAGCTGCACGTCATGGCGTGCCCCTCCCTCCACCCTCACAAGTGGCTTCAGCCTGTGTCGATTTTCTAAATTTTGGACCAGAAACAAAACGAACATTTTCCTAAATTATTAGTAAATGAGGCAATTTCCTGCAGAGCTGCTTTTGAGACTTTCCTTGTCCTGGGTGGGAAGAGCATAGGACATGCGCTGTGGCCGGCACCGCCCTCACTCTGGCTTACATTCCTTCCATTAGTCTCGTCTCGACCCCTAGTTGCCCACTGGGCATCTCCAGGACAGCTCTGCGCAGAAAGTCAAAACCCGCAGCCTGGGGCCGGCCCTGTGGCTTGGTGGTTAAGTGCGCGCGCTGCGATGCTGGTGGCCCGGGTTCGGATCCCGGGTGCGCATCGAGGCACCACTTCTCCGTCCATGCTGAGGCTGAGTCCCGCATACAGCAACTAGAAGGATGTGCAGCTATGACATACAACTATCTACTGGGGCTTTGGGGGAAAAAAAATAAATAAAATCTTTAAAAAAAAAAAACCCGCAGCCTGGCTGGGCCATTTGTTAATGACTGTACAGACATGATATGTTTTTTTATTAACTTTGTGTAGTAGTGTTTATAGTATGTTCTTTTTTTTTTTTTAAGGTTTTTTGTGTGTGTGTGTGTGTAAGATCGGCCCTGAGCTAACATCTGCGCCAATCCTCCTCTTTTTGCTGAGGAAACTGGCCCTGGGCTAATCAGTGCCCATCTTCCTCCACTTTATGTGGGACGCCGCTACAGCATGGCCTGATAAGTGGTGCATTGGTGCCCGCCTGGGATCCGAACGCGGGCCACCAGCAGCGGAGCTCGACCACTTAACCACTACACCAGGGGGCCGGCCCCTATAGTATGTTCTTATTGGACCAGCAAAGATGTGCTGTACCAGCGTTGACACTGGGTCTTGTTACTTACATTGGGTCAATCCCTCCCGTGTCCGTGGTCGTTGCCCGTGCCTCTGTAAACACGCACACTTGAACCAGGCTTCCGAGTCATCTCATCTGCTTGCTTACATTGATACTTAGAGATGTACAGATCTCTGGCTTTCAAGGAAACTTCCAGTACTGAATGGCATAGAAAGCTTTTTTTCTTTAAATTCTGATAGTCATAATTTCCTTCATATCAGCATTAAAATAATCTGCCTTGGAAAGCTGAGAATGCTATTGCACAACCCAAAATGTGTCTTTAATTTGAGGAAAGTGAACATGGTGAATCAGAAACGGTGAAAAAGTGCTGCACAAAGAACATCAGCCAAGTGGAGCTGTGCTTGTGGCCTGCCTTTGAAAGACTTCCCCAAACCACTGGGCTTTGCTTCCTGTTGTGGCACTCTCCCGAGCATGGTCACTCAGAGGGGCCAGTGGGGATGACAGATGCACAGCATGGCTTTTTAATCTGTCCGGGTGTTGTGCTTCCTAAGACCTGAAAGTATTTTCACTGTTTCCCTGCATTGGGAAATTGAAAGAAGGATGTTACTACAGATAGAAATCCTCTTCTCCGCTTTGCCTTTGACCAACTTTGTCCTAAGGGCTAAAATACGTACCTGCCCTGGTTGGGCCCTCTTCATTTTCTTAGCTTATAAATAAGAACATCCCAGCTCGCCCAGTGACTGTTTCTCTCTGTCCTGGCTGGGGAGCCAAGAGCAGAGCCGTGAGGCTGTGCTGACCGTGGGTCAGCTGCTCCACTTGCAGCTCAAGGCGTAAAGCCTTCCACTTTGCTGTGTCTCGAGTATTTCTTCAGTTTTCCCGATGGCTGTGATTTCTGAGTCTGATGGCTGCTGGGTCCATGCCCAGATGTCCACACTGAGTTGGAAACTATTCTACCCGGCAGAGTCTTTGTTTTGTTCATTCAGCTGATTTGCCATTTCTAGGCTGTTAGCAGACCTGTGAGTCGAGTCTGAACCTGCCCCGGGGGTGTTGTGGGCTCCACGTTGAAGAGGGCGCGTCAGGGTGACTGCCCCGCCCTGAAAAACTTGAAAATCGGTATCAATGATCATTGACGTCAGAGCCAAATTATATTTGCTTTATACCAAACAAAACTGTGGAGAACTACAAGTACATTGTACAAAATGTTTATAGTGTTTTGTATTTCACCTATTTCAGTATTTATGTGACTAGATCAGTACTTTCTAGAAAATGATTCTGTTAAATAATTTAGTGAGTCACTGTTAATTTCCCCATGTGATAAATTGATGCTGTATAATTAATCCTGGGGATGCCTTCTGGTTATTTTTGCCTGTATCAAGCCACCATGGTAGCAACCGTCTGTGGCTCTTGTTCTGCACAAGTAAAGTAAACGTTAATCGTGTACTGTGTTTTCTTCATTGTGTAACTCGCATGTGTTGGTGCTACTGAAGTGGTGGTTTCCTGTTGCCTTTAGCAGTTTCCAGCTTGAAGGGAGAGGACGGTTTCCCCGTCCCCGGGGAACTCAGGGATACAGAAAGTGAACATTCTATTCTGGGAGGAAGAGACTCCCACTTCACTCCCTTTTTGTGCCCTGATTTCTTGCCTCGTCCTGCATTTGCCATCTCAGGTCCAGGGAACGTGAATGCATGCCGGTCTTCCGTCCTCTCCCGGGAGTCCGGACGTTGAATTCTCATTTTTCTGTGACCATTTAAAACAACACAGGTCCTTGGGGCGGCCCTGTGGCTTGGTGGTTAAGTGCGCGCGCTGCAATGCTGGTGGCCCGGGTTCGGATACCGGGTGCGCATCGAGGCACCACTTCTCCGTCCATCCTGGGGCCGAGTCCCACATACAGCAACTAGAAGGATGTGCAGCTATGAAGCTATGACATACAACTATCTACTGGGGCTTTGGGGGGAAAAAATAAAATAAATTAAAAAAAAATCTTAAAACAACACAGGTCCGCAGAAGAACGGGAGACGGGGAAGAGGACGTCTCGACTCTCGGCGTCAGCAGGTCTGAGGGGCACCCGCGGAGTGAGGGTCTCCACAGCCCTTCGCAGGAGTCTGCGGGAGCCGCCTTCGGAACGCACCGCCAGCTCCGCCGCGCGTCTGTGTGAGGCAGAGCCGGCGCGAGGCTCCGACGGGCAAGACCGTATCTGGAAATGCGCTCAGCTGGAGCGGGCGCCCCTCAGCGTCACGCTCGCAGCGTTTTCGGCCGCCGTGGAGCCCACGCCCGCGGAGCGCCGCACCGCGGTCGCTGAGGGAACGCGAGGAGAGGCCGGGGCGGCGCCAGGGGCGGGGCCGGGAGGAGAAGGGCGCTCGCTCCAAGCGCTGCCGGGACCCGGCAGCTCAGGCAAGCGCGGAAGTCGGCTCCCGCCCGGCGGGCCGAACGCGCCGGGGCGAGGCGGTACTCCCAACTAGGAGTCCCTCCCCCGACACCGGCGCCCAGGCTTCGTCATCAGACTGCGTCCAGGCCGGAAATGACGCATAAGGCGCGCGCCGGGCACTGTTTTCGGATCCGGAATCGGCGGCGGAGCCCCGCCTTCTCGCGTCATCAGGCCGCGCCGACGCAGAAAGTGACGACGCTGCTGGCGCGCGCCGGGGGCTGTTTCTCCTCAGGCTCCGGGACCGGCGGCGGCGGCGGTGCAGGGGTGAGTGGCGGCGGAGCGGGCGGAGCGGGCGCGGCGCTGCCGGCTTACCGGAGCTCTCGGAACCGGGCTGGCCTCGGAGCGTGGGCCAAGTGGGCGACGCTCCCCGTTTTCTCGTCCTGCGTCGACGCGCGGAACTTGGGGTCGAGGAGGCGGCGGGCCCAGTCGCTACCCAGGCCCACCCCTGCCGGGCCCACCCCGGGTTAGCGCGCCTGAGCCCCAGGACTCGGAGCCCCGCGCCCGGGCCTGGTCTGCGGACGCGCCCCCGGCCCGCGCCTCCCCTAGCCCTGGTGTGGAGGCTGCTCCGTCAGCGGGCCGCTGGCCCAGCAGCCCCGGGGGTCTTTGTAACGAACTCCCGGCAGTGAGGCCTGCGGGGGCAGCGCCGGGTGCTGGGCTGCGGCCTCATTGGGCGGTCCCGTCCGCCCCGAGCGTGTTGCTGTGCGGGTGCGCTCGCGGCGTGGCAGGCGGTGAAGCGAGGTGTAGCCGCCGGCCGCCGTGGGAGTCGGAAAGGAGAGTTGAGTCCAGGCCGGCGCGTCTCGGAGCCCGCCGCTCTCGCCGCGGGTCTGCGCGCGGGCGCTCAGAGGCGCCGGGCAGAGGCTCGGAAACGGCGGCTTCAGCCCGAGCTGGCCGTGTCGTGACGTCGCTTGCATCCCTTTTCTGTTGGCAGTGTTTTAACTCAAATGGGTGATGAAAAGGACTCTTGGAAAGTGAAAACCTTAGATGAAATTCTTCAGGAAAAGAAACGACGGAAGGAACAGGAGGAGAAGGCAGAGATAAAACGCTTAAAAAATGTAAGCCATGTTTTTTAAGTAAGTGATTTTCTTAAAGGAGATTTAATTTCTTTGCCGTCAT